CTTCTTATGATGTCAAGGTTCATATAAATTTTCTAATGTGAGAAATTTATCAATGTTTATAGTTAGTGTTTAGAGAAAGAAGTCTTCGTTTTCACGATGATCGTTTCAGATTGACGCTCATCATTTACTCCATTGTTTTGAAAACATATTAGTACAGAAGCTGTGGTTTAGACGAGTTTTGATTAGGGTCTGGTTAATATAAGGTAGCAACTTTACTTGTAGAAGTACTTCTCAAAAAAAAAAAATGACTTTACTTGTAGAAGTAAGGTTGCAATGTTCCATACATCTATTTTAGTTGGATGGTATAGATTTGATACGTCTTTTAAGATAGTGTCAAGAAGCGGCATGTCTTTTAAGATAATATCAAATTTACACCATCCAAATAAAATAGACAGTGTAGGTTAGTGTAACCTCACTTCTACAAGTGAGGTTGCTACTTTATATAAACTCTTTCCTTTTGAGAATGCAACTCTATAACTCAAGGAGTGTTTAATACTGATATGGTTGTGTCCTTGTAGTATGCTCCCCTATCAATACGAATATTTCCCAAAGTGGAAAGAAGTTTCAGGCTGCTGGAATTAATTCACGGGGATGTGTGATCTAAAGGCATATTGACATGTGGTGGGAAGATATGCTTCGCCACTTTTAATGATGACTTCTCAAGATACGCCAATGTTCAATTTTAAGGAACAAATGTGAAGAATTGGAGAGGTTCAACATTTAAACAACTAAAGTAAATTTTTTAAAATTAAGATTTTAAGAAGCAACAAAGGTAGTGAATGTTGCTTTGCTGATATGACTAAATTTTTTGGAGAAAGGGAAATCATTCACTAAGTGACTTACCTGCCTACAAGGCGTAGCATAATGTTTTAGCTGAAAGAAAAAATTGCAGTCTTGTGGATACATGCTCATTAGATCTAACCTTCTTACTGATTTGTGGGGAGAAGCTTTAATGTCCGAGTGTTAAATTTGAACAAAATACTGTATTTTAAATCAAATGCCACCCCACATAAATTGTGGAAAGGAAGGAAATCTTATTGAGGATTCCTCAAGGTTTAGGGATGTATGACCTTGGTAAGGTTCCCTGGCCTTAAGGCGCTCAATCGGATTTGTAAGATATGTCGAACACAATAAAACCTATATGTTTCTTGACCTTGATCCTAATGTGACCTGGATCATATATTTTCGGTCTGACTTTCAAATGTATATTAAGATCCTATGAATGTCCAAGAAGCCATGTTGTCAAGTGACATTCCATTTTGGAGAGAGGTAGTCAACGATGAGATGGACTCTATATTGGCGAACAATACTTGGGAACTCGTGAATTTACCTTCATATAGTAAGCCTTTAGGATGTAAATTTCTTTTCTAAAAGAAAATAAAGGTGGATGATACTATTGAGACTATATAAAGCTAGATTGGTTACAAAAGGCTTCAGGCAAAAGGAATGTATTGACTTCTCTGGCATCAATGAGCCAATCACTTGGACAACAACCATTAGAGTGCTCATTGCATTGGCTTCTATATACCATATAGAGATTCACCAGATGGATGTTAAGACTATGAGCAACTTGAGGAATTTGTCTCAGAAAAAACTTGTGAAATCCCTCTATGGTTTGAAACAATCACCGAAAAAATGGCATGGAAAGTTTTATAGAGTCATTCTATTTCACGGATTTAAGACCAGCAATGTTGATACTTGTTTATACCTCAAAGTTGATAGGGTATTGTGGTTATTATTAGTATGTATGCAGATATATGCTCATCTAGGCATTGGCATTGCATGTATGGAGGACAATAAGATATTCTTATCTTTTGAATTTAATATGGACATGGGGCAAACTGATGTGACTCTCGGAATCAAGATGGTGAGGAATCAGGATGGGTATTCCTTGACTTAGTCTCACTATATTGAAGAGGTACTCAAAAGCTTTAATCACTTTGAGAGTAAGCCAGCTTCAACCCCATATGATCCTCAACTCATTTATGTGATGGCTAACGTATGTATGGACCATGATATTATCTTTTGAAGATTTATAAATTTTCTATGCCATCCTTGGCTATCTGGTACAGTTCACTACAATGAATAAGAAGGTTGAGTCATATATTTAATGATCCCATATGCTGTAAACCCTAGGCTGCGGTGTTGCACTATAGGGCATCCTCTATTGTTTCACCTATATGAGTGAGGAAGTGGAGGTTGTTCCTTATGGGAATTGTTATTATCTAGAGTGCTCATGAAAACTGGGAATTATCACAGTGCCTTTAACTCGCAAGCCTTTAGAAAACACAACTTTCAAAAGAGAATGTATGGTATGGGGGGACGTGTTGATCATAGACACATATCAAGTCCTCCTCCACTCACCATCCTTGTAAGTGTTTTACATAAGGCTATTTGTAGGTTCAAGTCCATTAGATACATTCACGTAAGCATTTTCTTTTCTAATATGTTTAGAGAGTTTGGTTGTTTTGAAACATGTGAGGTTTTTAAGTGTTGATTTTGGAACTTTCCTTGATTCAAAATTTCAGCAAGAGTGCCCCCTTTGACCGAAGTTGATTTTCATTAGGAAATATTAGAAAACTTATTGATTGAGGTAAACTTTGAGGGTTTACTCCAGATACCACAGTTAAAGGGAGAGAGAGAAACAAAATTAAATCAGTTGTTGAACAAAAATTTACTAAGTACATGGAGGCAAAAGATGGTCACACTCTCATTAAAGTATTGAATGCCCCCAGCCTGGTAAGTAAACCAAGATGCAATCAGGTTCGGACGAGTATGCTCCCATTATAAATCCAAATCAATATTACACTTCTCGAGTCATTGAGTTGCGCACTCGAAAAAAATTTGTCTAAAATCACATGTTCCATACTGATATGTTTTCAAAACTATGGAGTATGAAGATCATTGATCTGAAATGATCTCCATGAATTCGGAGACTTCTGTCCACAAACAATAACTGTAAACAATGATAAACGTTTCTTGCATAACAAAATTCATATGAATTTTGACATTAGAAGCTTTATTTCAACCAAATAGATAATATCATGAAGAATCCATGTTCATGGAATGCACCAATATTTGTAAATTTATGTAGGACGTCAAAAGTGTGGATATACGGACTTAGAAAACATAAAGTTAGTTGAGGCAATGTTATATTTTAGAGAGAAAAAGAAAGAAAAACTTATTTTAAAGAGAGAAGGGGTTATATAGAGGAAGGAATAAAGCAGCACATGACATCTCTTTTAGATTAAACACTTCACCATGTCATCTTTAAAATGACATGTGTCAAGCTAAATTGCTTCGACATATAATGAAACCCCAAATCACCAAAAATGGTGCGAAAAAAAGTGACGCATTAGCTAGACCTTGGGGTCTACAGTAATATACTGGTTTCTCAATCGTATAGTAATCAACATAAGATTTAACTAAAATAGAGTTGTTTGTATACACTTGTTTCCAAAAAGATATCGGCATCCTAAACAATCGTAAATTGGGGCCCACATCATGCTATTTTCTAGTTTTTTGAATGCAATATGCACGTATGATATTTTTTTTTTTGATAAAGTTAACCGTAAATTGAAGTAAAAGTTGGGCAATCCACACAGTGGAAGCTCCAGAGAAAAAGATAAAAAAAAGGAAGAACAAAAGAGAAAGCCTTCAAGCAGAAGGTTACAGTGATAAAAGCAGCCCAAAATAAAAAACTGTTTGAAAAGAGAAGACTAAGGACCATCCAAGGTTGCCGCTTCTTAAGCTAGGTTGTCTGCCATCTGATTTCCTTCCCGCCAAATATGTCTCCATAAGACGAGCGTATCCTTGCAAAGGTGGTAAATCTCTTCAAAAGGGTGAGCCAAATGCCACGAGGGAGGGGAAGAGGTAGAAGCCCAAGTAATCATGTTCTTGGAAACTCCCTCTATTGAAATTGATTCGAGTCCGAAAGGTTGAATAAGTTTGAGGCCTTCCAGCAATGCAATGTCCTCCGTGGAGTCAGTGTTGCCAATGAACTTAGAGAGGGAGGCAACAGTCGTGCCAGCGTGATCTCTGAGAACCACGCCAGCTTCCGAAGGCCTTGGATTTCCCAGGGAACACCTGTCAAAATTGAGCTTGAAAGAACCCTGGGCGGGGGGTCTCCATAATGCTGCCCTAGATGGGCGTTTGCTATTATAGTGGAGGGCTGCCTCCCAATTCTGGACGAAGGCAGTAGGAGAAACTCCTTTGAAAGACTTATGATTGGTTGCACAAAACATCATTGAGGATTTGAGTTTGACAAAGGTGCTATACCAAGAAGTGTACTCTCCCTGGAAAATTCGGTGATTACGTTCTATCCAGATGGCCCATAAGGAGGCTGCCATTGCGGATTTCCACAGCAAAATGCCTACCTTGGCCCAAGGAAAAGGCTGGACAGCAGAGATAATGTGAGGAACTGTGGCCAGTAGAACCCATTGGACATTAAACAGGTGAAGGATTCCCCCCCACAGGTTAAAGGCGATATGTGCATCACTTTTATGCATAGATTATGAGTATTCATGCAGTGAGATGTTCTTCAATGATCTATTTCTTGGTAATTTCCCAATTATAATGCCATGCTTTCTGTAATAGCCAAATTGAAATTTGTGGTATTGTTTCCCGCCTGCACAATTGCTTATTGAGTGAGCCTCTGTGCTTACAAATTGTATGGAAGTGGTTTTCTTCCCTTATCCTAGTCTTTATTGACATGGCACGTGTTAGTCATTCCAAAGTAAATTATTTTATATTGTTGCTCATGGGCAACCCTGAGAAACAACTCTTGTTGATCCAATCATTCTTAGGTTTTATGTTACATTGTCCTGCACGTATGATAATTTTTGAGTTTCTTGGATGGAAAGCCACAAGATTTTCACCTTCCTCCTGGATGCTTGTGTTAAAAGCATAACTTGGACTTAGAAAGGGAGAAAATATGGTCTAGTGTATCCAATAATTAGTGAGTATACCATGGTTATACCTGATACATTTCCTTGTCACAGATTCTTCGGCTAGAATTGGAAAAGAAGGGCTGGGCTTCAGAGGGCTTTTGAGATCAGCAGGCATTCTTTGTTCTGCTGGAGGCAATTAAAAACCAGGGGAGAAGTGAATACATTCCCACTGACCAGGTAAAGAAAAAGAGATGAAAAGGAATTTCTTTTGATTTGACTTTTACTTCATAGTTTTGGCATGTGTGTTTTTAGTGTCGTTGGTTAATAGAATGAAGTATTCAGCTAGTTTTCTGCGAACTTGCCAAATTCTTGCAGTTCAAACTCGTCTACATTTATCCACCCAAATAAGCGGCAAAATGGGTCAGGTCAATCTGGCAACCTCCCATGTCAACCTGACCTGGGTCCTTAACTGGACCCAGCTGGTTGGGTCCAGTTCCAATAGACTTGGACTCGACTGGTTTGGGGCAATCCAACCCGCGACAAACAGATGCACATGCATATGACCCGGGCCCTACCTGTTTTCTTCCCTAAAACCAAAGACAAAAAATAGGTATGCTTTGAAACTGAAATTCTACCCAAAAAAATCAAAACATCGAATTCCAATCTTCTATTTTTGATATTTGATAAGATGCTACCCCAAAATTTTCATTTTCAACAGATCATGGATAACAACTTGTTCCTAAAGAACATTTGATATTCTTTTTTTTGTTTTTTGGGTAATTTATTAAAAAAAGCACCCTAGAGATGAACTATTTAACATCTCATCCATGTCTTATGATTTAATTTTTAAAAGCCCATGAAAGGACACACAATCATGAGTTGGAATAGTTGATATTAATTTGATAAATGGTTGGAATGTTAAATAATCATTAGTTGAAATAGTTGATATTTTAGTTTTTGTTTGATAAATGGGTGAACTGTTAAATGGTCGACATTTTAGGTGTACTTAAATAAATTTCCCCTTTTTTTTGCCAATTCTCTATCTTTCCCTAAATTAAGACTCCTTAGATTTGGAGTACTCGAGTGATTGATGAAAATGTTTTGCATTGTTATGCTATGAAACAGAGATGGATTCCCTACCAACTTTTTGGCTGGCAGATTAACTTCTTGGGGAAACTTCCGTCACTTTGATTCGTAGTTTGTGAGTTTGTGTAGACATGCTTCTCTGGCTAAATGTTTTTCTTCTAAGCCATCTATTTATAAGCTCAATAAAATGCCTGGATCTTTCCCTAGATTAAGACTCAGATTTGGAGTACTCGAGTGATTGATGAAAATTTTTTGCATTGTTATGCTATGAACCAGAGATAGATTCCCTACCAACTTTTTTAGCTGGCAGTTTAACTTCTTGGGGAAACTTCCATCACTTTTATTCCTAGTTTGTGAGTTTGTGTAGACATGCTCCTCTGGCTAAATTTCTTTCTTTTAAGCCATCTATTTATAAGCTCAATAAAATGGAGCCAAAACTCTTATGAGTGTGTTTGGATGGCGTACAAGTTGCGGATATTGTGTCTTTATCTTGGGCCCACTGAAATGGTAATTGCAACTTTTAGTAAGAAAGGCAAAACTAGAGAAAAAGTATTTTACTCTTATGCTGAGTACAGCAGTTTGGTGCAGTGACTTTTTTGCCACACCAACTTTTTCTTACTGAAGAATCATAAAAGCTGTTACATTTTCTCTCATCTATTTCCCTCCCCTTTTATGCTCTTTCTTTTCGTCTTTCTCTATCCTATTTAATTGCAGCCTGGTTAGGGGCACATCTTTGTACAATATGTTTTACACTAGTATAATATCAGTTACCCATTGGAAAGTTTTTTTTTTTTTTTTGGCTTTTTTTGTTCTACATCATTGTAAAAGCAATTGGTATGCTGATGAACTTGTTTTGTTTGTTGATGAAATGTGAAAACAGTGAAGTATGCAGAAAAGACATCGTCAAGAATGGACTCCCCATGCTGAGTATTTGTGGGCAATTGAGTGATTGGATGGTTGGAGAAGAGGCAAACGCAAGGTTAGGAGACTAGTCTTAAAGCAAGTTTCAGCCTTCTTGAGAGATGACTACTGATTCTGATGCTTGAAACTTTTGCTTGCATGTTAGTACATGCTATTTTATGTCAGTAGTTAGGATTGCCTGCATATGGAGGCTAATTATTTTTTCTACAAGGCTTGTTGGGCTTGTTACATATGTTTGCAAGCAACGCATTACATGACCTCATGACCTCAAGCAAGGAGAGTGCATCTCTCTCTTCCCATATACCCACACCCTACTTGGGTGCAAAAGCTATTCTGGGCTGTCTTTGCTGAGATTGACCATTATTTTACTTCTTGTAGGGTTTTTCACCTCAGAACAACACTTTTGGGTAGATTTTTTAGGTGCATCTTATTTAGGTACAGTCTAAGTTTGACATCTTATATAATTTTTTCGCTTAGGGATCTTTTGGGACTGTTTTCTAGCAGTATGACAGTTAATATATCATTGGATATGGCAGGGAATATAATCTCTGTTGTATATTTTTTTAAAAAAATTGTATGCATGCAAAAGCATTGTATTCTTTCTTGTAAGGTACCAAAAAGGGGAGATCTACTATCGTGCTATATAAGCTTTTGTCCACTACCACATCTTTTTTAAAAAACTAAATACTATTTTTTTCTCATTTAAAACTGTGATAAATTGGCCGCTACCATGTTATATCGAAACAGGCCCTTAGAAGGTATTTTGAAAACTTGGATTAAAAAATAGAAAAAAATTGTATAAGGTTGACAATTAAGATGCAGATCAAATATCCATCGGTAAAATGTTGTTTTGCCATTGGAAAATCATCTAATTGATCATCTCGATGTCGAGATGCAGGGAAAAAAAAAGATTTAAATTCTCAAAATTGAATATCTTGCAACACAGTATTTAAATCGCTCCATTTTCAAGATTTTCATTTATAAATCAGCTTGATTTGAATCGTTTTTTGTGTTTAAAATTTTATAATTAGAGATGAATTAGATTTTCAGGACATTCTAAGAATTTCGACTCCAAAATTGTAGCTTATGATAGAGTTTGGAGGTGCACTTTACTTACAATGTTTAAGAAAGATTGAGGGGTACTTTCTCTCCTATCCGCCCTCCCCCTTTCCTTTCTTTCATCTCTTCTTTCCGCTAACTCCGCTGTTTCCACTACTTATATTTATTCTATGACTTGCTCTCTTTGCTTTCGACTTTTCTCTCTCTTCTCTGACCAAACTCTATAAGAAAGGTTAAACCCCTAAGATGGGTTCACCTTCCTATGGGGTCTCATGCCTACCACCTTTTAAGTACCCTGTTAAGGGGCTTCTTGTGCCTACCAGGTTTCTCTTATGGGCCTAGAAGCTCTCTGCATTTTTTCCACATTGGATTAACGCTCAAGATGGGGATTGCCCTGTTAGGGGGCATTGGCAAGCCCTATCATTGAACTCGAAACTTTCCTTTGGAGGATTAGATCTCCCTGTGTGGTCGGTCCATTACAATAACTTGGAGAGTTGACTGGGTTCTCCTTGATCGTTGTTTTTTCGTTTATCTCTATGCCTTCCTCCAATATTCCTTCACTTTGACTATTTCTCTCTCCAATCTCCCTCCAGTTCTACATTTCATTAGCTAGTCGGCTGCCAGTCCCCACCTGGATGCTGCCAAGCTTTTACCGACTTTTTTACGGTCACAAGTGCATGCATATTGGTGGGTTGCCCCAACCCCGGCTGCCAAGCTTTTACCGACTTTTTTACGGTCACAAGTGCATATGCATATTGGTGGGTTGTCCCAACCCCGGCTGGAGAGGTTATTGTTTATGGGAGGGGTATATCAAAGGTTATGGTGTGAGGTTTGAGTCGAGTGGAGGAGGCCAGAGAGATCCATGTCTGGGGAAGATGATCTGAGTGGGATAGTTGGGGTCCAATATTGATGGTGATGTAGGGGCCTTTGGGGGTGAGGGAGGTCTGTCTTTCGTTGGTCTAGGAAGGTCATACTTTGGCAGTAGAGAATTGCTTTTCTTTATTTTGTTGCTATGTAATTCTGGAGCCTTGCTCCTTTATATTTAATAAAGCAATGTGAACTTTATTAAAAAAATTAAAAATTGTAACCTTATGCAAACCACACCTTTAAAAAATTAGCCATAACGAAGCTTCCCTCTTTGAACCTTGGGTCCAACGATTAGTCATTAACATAAGGGTGCTGTTGGCATACGGATACGGATCGTGGAACCTTGGTCCAACAATTAGTATTTAACATAAGGGTGCAGTTGGCATACGAATACGGATGCATCGTAACTGTAGAGGTAAGGTGCACCTTCAAATATAATTTTGACGTAAAATATTCTTAGGATTATCTCAAAATCTATTTTTATATCTAACTATAAAATTTTAAATTTAAAAAATGGTTAAAATCAAGTAGATCTATAAACATATGAAAATCTTGAAAATAGACGGTGTAGATAATTTGTTGTAAAATGTACTATTTCTAAGACTTAAAATCTTTTTATTTGTCATGGTCATATATCTCTATGTCGAGATGATCAATCAAAGCGTTTTTCAACATTAAAACTATCTTTTCCGATGAATTTTTGAGGTGCATCCGTAGTTCTACATTATAAAGTTGCATCCTTATATAAACTTTTTCCTTAACATAAATATGCGAAGCCTTCAATCCTCTCTCTCTCTCCCCATGAAGGGGTCGCAGGTTCTTAATTCTGACTTTTCATCCACTACTCTCACATCATGCTTGAGAGAAAGCAACACCCATCTTGGTCAAGTGGAAGAAGATCAAATCAAAGGGGGATATCCACTTTCTCAAATTTGTTGGAATCCTTTACATACATCAAGACAAAAGAATAGAAAAACAGATTTGCAAGTATTTTGGGACGTTGTTTTTGTCAAAAAACAAAAAAACAGTATTTTGAAAAAAAAAAAGGACGAAATAACAAGGTCAAGTATTTTTTTCTCCTGCCGGAGCATATTGTCTATTTACTACCTCGGGTAAATACCAGTCTAGGTGTACTTTTCAGACTCCAATTTTTTAAGAGGCAACCTCTTCGACCTAGCGACGGGCCTCAAGAGAAAATTTCAATTGCACTCTCTATGTGCCATAATGAACTAACATCCTAAGATTGAATAGAGACCGACTTTCTTTTGGAGGGTAAGATCTAAGTGTTTGAACCTTTTTTCTTAAAATAATTAATAGGTTGATCCTAAAATTTTCAATCGAAAAGATCCTCCCAGAAGCCCTTTTGCCGAAGGGAGTAAGTGTACAGTGTTGCTTCCACAGTAGCATAGTATACCTAAAAGATTTATGCTCATGGAGGAGCATATATACATTCACTCACACAGGTAAAACTATATCTAGAAACATTATTACGGCCCCAAATTTTGGGGATGCAACCTCTCAAACCAAGGGCTAACTACAAAAAGAAGAGAATTGTTTTACACTCTGGACAAAAACCAGAACATCCTAATATTGAATAAGGGTGCGGTTTGTATAGAGCCTAGGCTCTAAACAATTAAATTAGAGCCTACTTTCAAATAGTGTTGAGAAATGTGGTTTTCATATTGAAAATCTTTGTGATAGCCTTAAAATATAGTTTCATATTTATTTATAAAATTTAAAGCTTCAAAAATAGTGTAGATTGACGTATCTATGAAAACTTGAAAATCATGAAAATTGACGGTCCAAAAATACGTTACAAAATATACTATTTTCAAAACTTGCAATCCATTTTTTTCTCTTGTCCATGCATCTTGATGTTGAGATGATTGGTTTGAAGATATTTGAGCATCAAAATAACCTCTTCTAGTGAAATTTTTTAAATAGGCTAAAATTTAATTGTTTAGAGCCTCGGCTCTCTATAAACTTTTCCCATTTAATAAAGATTGTCCAATTTGCACAGTCGAATCTAAGTATTTACAATATCAAAATCAGAATGCCCAAATTTGACTTCTAAAAAAACTCGGTGGTCTTTTACCAAGTATACCCCGGAGAGTCTAAATATAATATGCTCCTTTGGAATATGGTTTTACTATAGGGAAAGGTTTCTACACTTCTCCTAATGTATAGAAGATATATACTCCACCCTTACATCCAACTGTCCAATTTAGATCAAGTGAGCCATTGACTATTTGATATAGATCTAACGTCTCATAGTATTTCATTTTTATTTTTATTTACAAATCACATGAATATAAAATTTTGTGCGTGCCATCATGTCAATGGTGTGCACCTAAAAACAATATTAAAAAATATTTTTGATAAAATATAATTTTCAAAATACCTATGAAACTTCCAAGGGCATTTTGGTTTCTTTATTTTATTGAGAATATTTTTTTATAGGTGCGAGTTTAAGGGAAGAGTGGACGTCCAAAATTTGGTATCAAAATATTTTACACAAAAAAAACTAAACTGTAGAGGCATGATATTGTGATTGGGTTATCTCAGCTCTCCATTTAAAATGGACCGGTTGGATAGGGGATATAGAAGTTTTATACATGAGAGGAAACCAATGTTGTCCCCATCAGTGGTGTTAACTGGTCTTATATCTTACTATTTCCTTAATAAAACAAGTAGGGGCCCTCATCCCCACTGATTCACCAAAAAAAAAAAAAAAAATGCAGACTTCTCCATCCAATTGGACACCTGTTTGGTTAGTCCTTGGATGTTTCACATATACCAGAAAGCAACTCAAAACTTTGCTTTACTATGTTTTATTATTGTTACGAGGGACACGATTTTTATGTGTCTTAGGACTCATATGTAGATATGCATATGCTCTTCGTGATCTAATTTTGTGATAGATTTGGACCTAATTTTTAAGGTATATACAACATCTAAAACAGAAAACATAAATTGTAAAAATAAATATGTTTTAAAAACTAAAAATAACAATTTTTTTAAAAAAATTTAAATCGTTGATTTTACTTGTTATTTGGAGAGACCACTACTCCGCATGGGTCTTTAAGATCCACATGGGTCTTTAAGATGGACGTGGTATGTCCCGGGTTACGCAACTGTAGTTATGCGTCCCTGACGTATAAACCACTCTACCTTTTATGAAATGATGGGGAGACTTTGGAGTCCTTGGGAACCCCTCATATGCATAATTAAAAATCCCAAATACTAGATCACACCCAAGATCGTATATATAGTTGGCTAAATACAAAATAGATAGATACACTTTTAAATCGAGTGTAAGAAATAAAACAAAAAATAAAATCAGACTACAATAACATAATTTATGTGGTTCACAGCAAAAAACTACATTTACGACCTTGACAAGTATAAATCTACTATCGCAATGAAGACTACAATCTCTCCAAACCGGTAAAAACTCTCTATCGTCTTCTCTTTTAAACCCTCTCTCCCGACCAAACAACATCATTAATTAATCTCATATTTTCTACCGATACAGTGATACCAGAAAGAGAACCTTGAACCTTGAGATCAAAATGATATGTTCTCTATTTTTTTAAAAGTGGAAGTTTAACCAACCTAAATCCCAACTGAGAAAGTTACCTCTCTCTCTTGGAGACTCATCTCCTTCATAGATGTCAT